CAACGCATCAAACTAGAAAATTTGTAACCGAACTCTTTGTATATATCATTTTACCATTTTATAGGATATTCGGTTTGTTTTTAAATATAGGATAGGCTTCAAAAAGGAGATCGAATCTGGCCGGTATTTATATTGCCGTGTAAAATTCATAAAAAAAGAGTGGCTTAATTAATTTTAAAATATTCAAAAGTGGTGAGTGATAACAAACGCATATTACAGTTAAGGCCGTATACCACTATGCATTTTCTTGTATCATTTCTTATATCGTTTCTGATATAGAAAGTTATTTATGTTTTTCTTGTATCGTTTCTTGCACGTAAATTTATGCTCTGTATGACACTATGCAAGTTCTTTTACCGGAAATTGTATATGATTCGACACATGATTGGTCGAAATTTTGACACCTATAAAAATAGAACTGCAGTACCTGAGGACCCCAAGCCAGATGCTACTGATTATTTTTTAAAATACTGTGGTGCAAAAATGAAAGAAATAAAATGTCCCAATATTAAAACTAAATTGGAAACCACAATTTTTGAACATATTCAACAGGCTGTAATGGAGGACAGAAATAATAAATAATTTGGTTGTAATAATTTATTTGTTTTTTATTATAAATTATGTGTTTGAATGGCATACTCTTGTAATTCTACTCTCTTATTTGGAGATATAAAATAATTTTTAAACTCATCACGATTTTTAGAGCGGTTATGTATTGTTTTTAGTAATACATTTCCTCCCACTTTCAGTAGTTCCGATGCTATTTCATCCGATCCCTGTGATTTATTGTTTTTCAATTTGGCTACTGCTGTTCTAATCATAGTTATTGTTGGTGGGCACTTTTTTCTGATGTCTGCTTGGTCTAATTATTGTATATCAAAGTTCTCCTCCAGCCGCCATTATGACAGAAGTTTTACGTTTTTGCGCACAAATTGGCGCATTTCTTGTACAAGAAACTGCAGCGGACACAAATTCTTGTATCGTTTCTGATATAAGAACTATACGCTTGTATGACACTATCCATTTTTTTGTTATATCAGAAACGATATAAGAAATGATACAAGAAAATGAATAGTGTCATACGGCCTTTAAAGGGTGAGTTCATACCACGTATTTTTGTTATTGTTTTTCAATTATTTATTACTTACTGTTGACATATCAAGTGTTAAAAAAATTAATAATTATTGTCTGCTGTTAGCCGTACTGTTACCTGTAGCTTATAGAGCCGGAATGTGAGAAGTCATTAGCAGCAACAAAATATTGTGCAAGTCAAGTTTTAGCAACTCAATAAAAGATAATCAAATGTCCAAATTGTAAATTGTCGATTGTTAACAATAAAAATACCCTTAATTGTATGTCATGCAATTTACCGATTCATATTCAATGTCTACATATTGCACAAGAAGAAGTTATAACAATAACTAGAAAAATCGAAGTCACTACGAATCGTCTGTAATAGTTTCTGTACATTCGAAGATAAGTTCAATAAATTAACTGATTTAGTTAACTAGATTAATTTATAGACTAAATTAACTAGATTTTAGATAACTGAAGTTATCACATAGACTTGCATCGATTGAGGATCGTCTCGAGACATCAAACAACCTACTCAAACTAACTCAATGGAGTTCGAGGATTGTATGCAAGAAGCAAATATTCGTTATCAGTTTCCGCGTCTTTCGTGTATTGGAAAGATTATCAATAGTAATAAACCTAGGCCATTAAAGGTTAAATTTGCAGATAATGATAGTCCATTATTTATGTTGCGCAATAAGATGAGGTTGTTAGGAACCAAATTTTCTAGAATTCAATTGAAGGATGACTTAACTAAGTATCAAATAAACTATTTAAATAAAGTGCGAGAGGAACTGGAAAAACGTAAACTACTTAACAAGGAACTAACCATAAAGTATATTAATAAAGTTCCAACTATTATTAGTACTTTTTCTGTTTTCTGACTATTTGTCATTAACATCTTCTAATTCCGTTATACATATTTTTGGGATAGAGTTCCTCTGAAATTGGTACGGGCAGTTAATAATTTTAGTGTTACGGTCAACCAAACATTAAGTTGGTCTATTCAAACAACAAAAGTAGTTAGTAAAGCGAACTCTGCTTTATTATTTATCACAAAAGCGTTTCATAAAATATCTCCAGACTTGTTTTTGAAACTCGACAAAAGTTATGTCAGACCTCACCTAGAATTTGCAGTGTCAGTTTGGTCACCTCATTTGCAAAAAGACATCTTCACTTTTGAGAACAAAATGATTTGCAAAAGGACAATTTTATTCATAGAATTCACAGAAAAAATGCTGCACTTCTAGCTTCCTTATTTTTATATTCCTTTATCCGTACATTACATAATGCTTCCTCAGCTTCGTATAACTACATGAATCTAACAGTCTCCCTTTCAGACCATTTTCTTTTTATGTTTACTTCTCGTTTTCGATTTTTTGACACCGACGCCATTTTAATTTTACAATATCACACTACTTGGATCCAAGGAAGTTAGCCAGCGTCCTACTTAACTTGGATAGAACCTGTTGATACAAGTGTACTTGGATGAATAGGTGACACGATCAAAGTAGCTTCCAAGTGATGCGCGCGCAACGTCCAAGCAGACTTTAACCATGTGCACTTGGATCGTGTTAACCCGCCTTTACGGGATTATATTGTAACATTTTTTTTATTATTAATATATTAAATTTTTAATTCCTTTTACCCCCGTGATGATACGCCGATGATCGTGTTTACGATAAGAAAATATTATTGGACCTACCAAACTATCATGGAATTCCCTAATTAAGAAAGGTTGTTAATCCTTTCTGTCTTAATCCTGAGTATGAAAGGAACTAATGCTTTTCGGTATGCGGGTTCTTTTTCATAAATTGGTAATTTTCGTCGAAGGCACGTACCTATAGTAATCTTTTGATAATAACATAATCCAAAGGATTGTATGTTTCTCAGGTCCAATTGTTAGTACCGTAAATACCTCAAACTTTCCGAAGTCGTTAAGACCTTATCTTCTCAGAACTACATACGACTGGCCTATGATCTTGGAGCGGAGATTCTTCTTTTTTTTGTGAGTTTGGTAAATTTTGGCAAAGAAAGATTTACTTATGAGTGGGCCGTTGTTGAGAGAAGACTGAATTCTCGTGGGCCGCTTCGCGATACCTTATCGTCTCTATTATCGTACCGTTCTCTGTGTATTTTTTTAAGTGTGTATACACTTGTTTAATTGAGTATTTTATCTTATACTATATTAGATTAAATATAGTTATAAAGTACCTTTGAGGTTAATTAAATTCAGTGTTTGATACAAGTAAAGTATTAACTTCAGTGAATTAGGCTGCAGTCATCAGGAATTACTGTAAGTTACCGTAATCATTATCTTCAAATTATCTGGGCGAGTAATATGGTATGGTAACATATCATCCTCCATTATCTGGACGTATCTAATGTTCCTCCATGTCTTCACCTTTAGATTGCTGATTTTTGTATTCAATTTAAAGAACATTTCAATAAATTCAAGAAATTTCAATAAATAATAATTATGAACATTTAAATCTTAGTTTCTCATTAAATAATAGTGCGAGATAGTTAATCCACTTAGCCAAATGCGGTTTGGTTAAATTATTATGTTTTCATTTCTGGAACCTTTTTGTATTTTTGTAAATTTTGATTTAATTAATTTTTGTTATCTTTTGAGTTTGTTATAATTTTTATTATTTTTTTTTGTAATATCTCGAGGTACGCCCATAACACTTTATTTGTAAATGATTGTCTTATATATCTTTGTAAAGGTATTTGCTAATTACATTACCGCTTATTTTTATGTGTATACCACCATTTTATAGTTGTTGGTGTATTTTTATTACTTGTGTTGCATTCAGCAGCGTCATAATTTTGTTGTTGAATATATTGTTATTGTTTTATGTATGTATTTTATTTGTCGGCTCCTAACAAGTTCCCTGATAAAATAGTAACTCTGAATATTTGCTTTTTATCTTTAAATATTACTATACTTTTGACCAGTAGAAAGATCAGGCTGATTAAGTTTCGTAGGTAAGTAATATATTTATTATTTGTTTATATATTGTGTTGACCAAATTTATTTGATAATTAACTGTTGGTATCTTTCCTTGGGTTTGATCTCTGAACCTAAATATCTTTCCTTATCTCTTTTCTTTTCTAAGGTTTCTTAATTTTCTCCTTAACCCCAAAAAATTGAGTGGCGCCCTGTTTCTATCTTATCGTATCTTTGGTAATTTTACCCATCTATCTTTTTGTTTATTTCTGTATCTTTTCTAATATCGCTTATCCTATCTTTACTTATTTCGTCCGTTGGACCCATTCCCGATTCCAAAAGCTAGTTTCGAACCCACGACTCGCTCTCCACCAACCATCTGGCTGCCGTCCGCAGTGTCTCCATTGGTTATCTTTCTAGCACCACCCAAAAAAGATTTCCGAGGTGACAATATTAGGTTACCTGCTATAATAATACAAAGAGTAGTAACTTAGGCAGTAACATTCGGTAGTAACTATAGGTACTATCAGTAATATTGAAGACTAAAATATTGAAATAAAATGAACATTGGAATTTCCAGTTACTTAGTCATACCATTATCTACGATTAGAAAAATATTATTTAAAGTCCGCAATTTAAAATAAATTGCCGTTTATGCATTTTATACAATTTTTTATATAAATATGCAAAATTCTCAGATATTTGTATAAAATATGCAAAATATGCAAGATAAGCCTTTTGCTTATTTGGCTAAGTCTAAGGATAAGTTTAGTAAAACGTTGAGAAGCTCTCTTGAATGGGCTACTAAAAAAATCCCTGAAAACATGAATCACAAACAAATCTTCAAGACAATTAACTTAAGTTGTAAAAAATTCTAGTTTTTAACTTAAAAAATGTAATTAAAAATATTTGTTACTATATTTCCATAAACTAATCATCTAACATTAATTAAATTATGTTTTGTATGTTTCAGCTTGTTCAACTCCACTGGAAAGTCCTCTTCTTAACTTCACAAATAACGAACAAAACACTTCCAACGTATTTTTAGGCCTTGAATGGCCGTTAACGTTTTCTAATTCCTTAGCGTTATCTTCTAATATGGATCAACCTACAACAAGTGACCAAAATTGTTCCATGGAGAATCAACTTAATGAGACTATGCTGATAGCAGGTATAAATGAATTAGTTAATTTCCTAGTTTTTTCATTACACTATTTGCTTCTTTTCTTTTTCATTGTTTTTATATGCACATGTCTGTTCGTTCTTCGATGTCTTCTGAACAGTCACATAGCGTTTTTAGTTTGCTCTATTGGTGATTTGTCTCAAAATATTCTTAGTATTCTGTTTTCTATCATTCTATCGATACGTTTATTTCATTATATTTTGCTCCTTTTTACACATGTATTAACCGGATCTATTTTGTGCTGTTTTATAATGTTTTCACGTCAACGTCTACAGACTTTAAACAGAGAAATAACTCTGGCCTACTTATATCATTGATATTAAAATATTTGTAAAGTATTAAAATATATTGATATAATAAAGTATAACGGCTGACATAATTAGAAATTACACAAAAATTCAACTTTTTAACAAATTTAATGATAAACCGGGTATTTATGTTCATAAGTATATACTAAATTTTGTTGGATATCATGCTCACTACCGTAGGTATTCGCTATTCTGGCTTTATTAAGAGATCTAAATAATGTTTTAGTCGATTTTCCATACCACTATCTTTTTAGTTATCATGTTCTTCTTCTTCTATTCTTAAGACCAAAAACATAGATAGTAGAGATCTACCAATTATATCGAATGTGTATCAAAATCAGAAAGCAAGAATAAGAGTCAAAGGAGAACTGACAAAGGAAGTAAGTATACTTAGAGGAGTTCGACAAGGGTGCATACTTTCACCACTTTTATTCAACGTCTACAGTGAAGTGATATTGCCATAAGCTTTATTGGATATTGTGGAAGGTATGTTGGTCAACGGAAATAGCATTAAGTGACATAGAAGATCTACAGTACATAATACAACATGTATACAATGCATGTAAAAGGTACGGACTGCTAATGAATCTCAAGAAAACGAAATCAATGATATTCTCAAAAAACCACAAAATATAGATAACCTGATCATCAATACTACAACGATCGAAAGAGTAACAACATATAAATATTTAGGAACGTGGCTAATCGAAGATGGAGATCAAACAAAAGAAATCAGATCTAAAATAGAAATGGCCAAAAACACGTTCATAAAATTAAAGAACTTACTTTGCAACCGTAACCTTAATCTAGAGATCCGCACAAGAATGCTACGTTGTTACGTTTTTTCTACTTTACTATACGGCATGGAAGCGTGGACAATAAAACAGTCTGAAAATAAAAAAAAGAAGTTCTTCTTCTGCCAAAATTACGTTTACCTCAGATCATCTCTGTATTCTTCTTAACCCATTTTCTACCAGAATATCAATAAATATATTTTTTCATAAATATAACTGCAGATGACAATGGAATGAAACTAAATAAACGTAAAAATATGTTTTTATTAATTTTTTGTTATAAACATAAGAAAAAAACGCTGTGACCATATGGTCACACAGGGAGGTTACCTATATATACATTATGTATTTACTACTGTGTATGAAAAATTTCAAAACACTCAATGCAAAGTCCTAAATTACATTTTTTACATTGTGTACGTATCACAGAAGAACATCCTTCTCCTGCACACCTACGTCTTTTACCGTTAGGAACTGGAACAACAAGATGGTCAATTTTGTCATATCGTAGATTGTCGGGCACTCTATTCATGGACAGACTATTCTTGCTGACTGAAGGCTTACCAGGACGTCTAGGCGGTACTCCATATTTCCGCATATACATCTGTGCAATTTCTCGGCGGAAAACTATATTTGGTGTTTTTTTTCTTTCCTTTGAGGACTTCTTATAAAGCACCCACGCGTTATGTAGGCATACGTCAACAAGCCAAGTAAAAAGAGGCCAATACCACTTTTTACTTCTGATGCCAATTCTGTATCGTGCCACATCTTCATCCATTCTATCCGTGCCACCCATGAATGTATTATATTTTGCAATAATCAAAGGCCTTTGTACTTTAATAATTTTCTTCTGTTTCTTAGAGTATCTCTTGACGTAACTTTGAGGATTGATACCGTAGCAAGTTGATGCAGCCGTAACTACAGCATTATCCATCCACTTGACCAATATAAATCCGTCATTTTTAGATATAACATAATCAACAGAACCTCTAGTTTTAGTAGCCATTACTTTGTTATCCGGCAAAGGGCAACACTTAGGAACTCTATTTTGTCTTATTGTTCCAGTACAGTCATATCCCCTTAGTTTTAATTCTGCAAGCAAATTGAAACTCGTAAATAGATTATCGGTATAAATATGGTAATTTGGCATCTTATTTGGTAGATCGTCAAGCATTTGAAGTAAAGGAGCTGTTGCACTTCCAAATTTTTCTACATAACTGTTATCAGTTGAAATCTGTTTACCTTGATATAACTGAAAATGAATCAAATAACTGTCTTCAGAATTCAAACACCAAGCTTTATAGCCAAAGCGTATTGGCTTACCTTTGATAAACTGTTTACAGCTATGTTTCCCAAAATACTTGATCATTGATTCATCATAATTCATGTGCTGGGTTGGTTGAAAGTACTTAAGACATTTCATTTGCACCTTTTCTATAATGGGGCGTAGTTTCCACATTTTATCAGTCCTTCCAATTTTGCTGTTATCGGCAAAATGAATACATTTCATGATTTGATCAAATCTATTCCTGCGCATAGAATTTTTCACCATGTGTACTGCCATGTCATCCTGTTGATCCCAATAATATGTTCTGCCCGGTAAGGGATGGTAGCCGGATAAAATTAAAATTCCGAAAAAACATTTTAATTCATCAATGGACAGATTTGGATCTGGAAAATTCTTGAACGCAGCATATTTTTTTGTTTCTTGTAAAATATGTTCAAACATATCGTTGTCAAAAAATAGTTCGAATAGTTGTAATGGACTCATGTCATAAAATTCATAACTTTCAGATTTATTCTCGTTTTTAAATTTTTTATTATGTATCAAATCTCCCTCTATCCATTGCTTGATCTCAGTTTTTTAGAAATTCTACATTTTTTATTTTTTCCCTCGTTTATCTGACTCACCTGTTCATCAGATTTTGTTGTCTTTATTTCATCCACAGAGTCTTCCTCTCCTTGTTCCATATTTTCGTTACGATTTATTCGAATTTCAGCTGGCGCTAATAACTGTCTATGAGACAAATTGTCAACTAAACCACCATCGTCTTCGTCCCCGGAATCTTCATCCGTATCCTCATGAACATCTGGAGGACAAATAAACACCGATGTTTCATCATTTTCTATATTTTCGTCATCATATAACATGGTCAATGCTTCTTGTAATGTAAAACCACGTCTAAAAAGAAAAAACCTATTAATTATCACATATTATCCCTGTGTGACGTTATGGTCACAAACAAATATTAGAAGCTCTACCGCATTTGATACAATACTTTTGTGATAAATTATATAAACATGTCTTAAACACATGTCTCTAGATCCTATTTGTTCAAAAATATTTTTGTTTTCTTTAAAAATAAGATTAAAAAATATTACTTACTCAAAGCGAACGTCCATTTTGATGCTTTCTCGTTGTAACACCAACAAACATCAACTATAACACGACTTTGCCAGCGAATTGATCAGGTACCGGGTATGTCATTCGTTACATAGATATCTCTAGTCCGCGTGGTCGTATTACTAGTTGCATATATCGCTGTATGTGTTAAATATTGTATATTTAAAAGGGGCCATTTAGTGTGACCATACGGTTACGCTAGCAGAAAACGGGTTAAGATGGAGGTGCTAATAGGAAAGCATCGGTATACAGGGTGATTGATTAGTGTTATAAAGGTCAGTAGATCCGGTATAATAAGAGATAGCAATAAAAGTTAATATTAAAAATTGTAGGGAATTTTCCGTCTGTTTGCCTTTGCGTCCGTAAGAAGTTATGTTGTTATTACGTCCCATGGCGTAAAAGATTTGATTTCTCGTTTAGAGCTTCTACACCAGTCGCTCTAAAGAGTCTTTTAACGACGAAATACGTATAAGTGAATAGTAGAGGCACTATGCGTAAAATCAAATCTTAACTGTCCTTTCTATATCTTTCTTTACTCGTTTATTTTGAGTATAAGAAACCAATTCACAAAAGGTTCTTACCTAGGTGAATCGATATGTCGTAGAATGCAATTTTAGATTCCTCAAGTCGTTCCAATTTACCGCTTGCATTCAAAATCGTAGAAGGCACAGATTTAGATATTAATCTGAGTTTGGTTTCGAACACTGCAAAATATGAACAAAAAATTTAAGCGCCTTCTCATTATATTGAGTTGTGTTGTTTGTTTTATCCGTTTCGGCACTTACCCATTCCTAGCTCTCTAATCAGATTATATTTAGTAGTCTAAAATCTCATAGAGAGACATTAAAATATGCTAGACAAAATATAACACTAGTGTTAGTAAAGCAATTTTGACATGTTTTTGATTTTAGACCGTATAACGAATTCCATACAATCGAATATAATGGAGGAAACTATTTTGTTAGGGGAAGATATGGAAGACAGAATTGAAGAGAATCTAACACTCATATCTTCTACTGATAACGATATTTCTATTGATCCTGACTTGCTAACATTAAAACCAACCAGAAATCAGCTAGAACAGGATGAGCAATAAATATGATAATGACTATATTTATTTATTTGTTATCTTTTATAATAATTACAAATATACACTAGTATTACTTTATTAAATATTTTATTTTAAATCATAGTTAATAATATTAAGTCGTTCATGAGAATGTTCCAGATAATTAATAATTTCCTTTTCTTAAATCACTAATTTCCTTTCGTTGTTGATGCACGACACTGCATATCATCTACAAACTTTTTTAAGACGTGTGTATTAAAAACGGCGTAGGTAGGTGTGGCTAACGATAATACCAAAATGGCGATGGGATCATGGCCGGACTCAATAATATTAAAACTACTATAAAAATATATCTAGTTATTTAGAAGATTTAATCATAATCTAAAAAGTGCAATACATTTTTAATAAACTAT